CAGGTTTTGTTCAGGAAATGGATGCCAGTTCCAATTTCCATGAGGGTATGTCCTTCATTTTCTAACGTTCTTATGGTTTGAGGTTTCACATTTAGGTCTCTGATCCATTTGGAGTTTTTACTAATTTCAATACTCTAGTTTTCCTTTGACCTGAATCCCTCTTTTGCTGTCTGAGTATAGGATATTATTTTTTACAGAGTCCTTATCAGGAGTACCTAGAAAATCCAGTGTGAGAACTTTAAAAATCTGTTGCCCAAAATGCAAAACACACCAGCTACTGGCTCTATCTAATGATGGCTACTTTTATACTTTTGTCCCAAGACTAACTTCTCATCCTCTCCTCCAGTGTTTCCTTCTTCAATCCTTAGTTTTCAATTCATCAAATTTTCAATTCACAACAAGAACTTCAATTCTGTTGTGTCAGTGGGGTCATTTACCATAAACTCGTCTTATAATCTTATCTTTCCTGGTCTTGACAGTGTATGCCATGAGTGGTTTCTCTTTCTTTTTTTTTTTTGAGTTGGAGTCTCACTCTGTCACCCAGACTGGAGTGCATTGGCCGCTCCCCGCCACCGCAGCCTCAACCTGCTGGGCTCCGGCGATCCTTCCGCCTCAGCCTTCCGAGTAGCCGCAATTACAGGCATGCGCTACCACGCCCGGCTGATTTTTTGACTTATTGTAGAGATGAAGTCTCGCTGCCCAGGCGGGTCTCGAACCCGTGGGCTGAGGCAATTCACTCACCTTAGCCTCCCAAAGGCGCGGGATTACAGGCTGAGCCACCGAGCCCGGCTGGTTTCTCTTTCTATATGGCATTTTTTAAGTTAAATATCTTTATACATTCGTTTTTTTCTGCCCAATTTCTTGTGATTATTTTCCATGCCCATCTTTAATGCTTTATATGTATTGGCACTTTGGACAGGATCAGTTCTATTTGTATGGCAACTTCAAATCAAATTCTTAGTTTGTGTTATTTCCCCCCCCCTATTTTCCAACAATTTTCTTTGGAATACAGTTTATTTTTCTTTAAATCTTGTTTAAATTCTTAAATCTCTTTTCCCTGCTTGCTATTCATCTTGAATACAAACATAAAATAATATGTACAACAATTTTAGTTGCTGATATTATTAGATTTTGGATGCTATTAGATATTCTATGACAAAAATCACTTCAGATACTAGCAGGTCATATCTTGGAATATTGACTTTTAAGAAAACTAACATATTAGGTAAATATTCTGAAATGAACATATCTGCTATTCACAGCTAGTCCTTAAGCAGGTAAAAACAGATCTTTGTAAAGAGATCCACAACAATTTTTACAGGCACATTGCCCAAATATGGGAATTTAACTATCCCTGAGGTGTTTTTTTTTGTTGTTGTTGTTGTTGTTGTTGTTTGGGTGGAAGTCTCACTCTGTTGCCCAGTAGCACACTGATGGCCACCACAGCCTCGACCTACTGAATTTAGGTGATCCTTCTACCTCAGTCACCCAGGTTGCTGGAACTATAGGCACGTGCCACCATGCCTGGCTAATTTTTTTATTTCTTGTAGAGGCGAGGTCTCACCAAGTTGCCCAGGCTGGTCTTGATTCTCTGGGATAAAGCAGTCCTCTCTCCTCTGCCTCCCAAGTGCTGGGATTACAGAAGCCATTGTACCCAGCTTCTCCCTGAGTATTTATTTATACATGAAAGTTTTCTAATCACTCTGACCCTCACTCCACCTTCAAAAAATGGCGTTTTCTCTGAAAGTATGCCAAGCTCATTACTTAAGTACTCTTCTAAATCTTGAAGTAAGAGACAGGAAATATCTAGCATCATCTTGAGTATGAACAAATTATTCCTTTTATCAAGTGTTTGAGAAATATGAATTACCATGTGGTTCCACTCAGAACTGTCAATGCAGAGTGAAGCTGAATATTTGATGGGTTGCCAGTTTTATCATTGACCAAATATTTTTGAGTCTTGCTGTACAAGCACTGTTCTGCTAAGTTCTGGGAACAAAAACAAAGAGTTTGCACCTTTAGTTCTATTATAACAGGAGATACTCTTCATTCTGCCATAGGAGCTATCTTACTATTTTTTCTGATTAAAGTCTTTACCATTGACATAA